GACAGGGTTGTCCGATTTCCCCGTTTTTGTTCACTTTCCTCGTGGATTCTATCATGGAGTGTTCCCTTGCGGAATCTCATGACGTAGGCGTTGAAGTGCTGCCTAGTGAAAGATTAGTTGATCTTGATTATGCGGACGATATCGTCTTGCTTTTCGACAATGTTGAGGCGGCACAGTCAACCCTGAATACCCTATCCAGAGTGGCCCTATTATTTGGTATGCACTTCGCACCTTCAAAGTGCAAAGTGTTGCTGCAGAACCACCAGCCACTTGATGGCCCCTTGACGCTTGCTAACGAGGAACTCGAGGTGGTTGATCAATTCACTTATCTTGGCAGCTGCGTCAGCAATGATGGACGCATAGAAACTGACGTGAGCTCACGCATTGCAAAGGCCAGTGCTGCCTTCTTGAACCTGCGTCATCTTTGGCGACAGAAGGATGTTTCCCTCCGTCTGAAATGCCGTGTATACAAGGCCACAGTGAGGGCCGTTCTGCTCTATGGTGGTGAAACTTGGCCCCTTCGGTTTGAAGATCTGAGGCACCTTCAAGTCTTTGATCATCGTTGTTTGCGAAACATTGCTGGTGTCGGATGGCACCAGCGTGTCCGCAACGATGATGTGCGTAGGCGAGTACTAGATGGTGATAATCATGCCAAATATGTGAACATCCTTCTTGCTCTATACTTGAACACTACAGACCGCGTCGGGGTCTACGGTGGCCTATCGGATTCCTTTCCGACTGCAAGTGGCGTTCGTCAGCGTTGTCTGATTTCCGCAAGTTTGTTCAATTTCGTCGTGGATTCTATCGTGTAGTGTTCCCTTGCGGAATCTCACGATGTAGGCGTTGAGGTTCTGCCTGGTGACAGATTAGTTGATCTTGATTATGCGGACGATATCGTCTTGCTTTTCGACGATGTTGCGGCGGCACAATCAACCCTAAATAGCCTGTCTAGAGTGGTCCCATTATTTGGTATGCACTTCGCACCTTCAAAGTGCTGCTGTCGGACCAACAGCCACTTGCTGATCCCTTGACGCTTACTAAAGAGCACATCGAGGTGGTTGAACATTTCACTTATCTTGGCAGCTGCATTAGCAACGATGGGCGCATAGAAACTGAGGTCAGTTCACGCATTGCAAAACGCAGAGCTGTCTTTAACCTGCGACATTGTTGGCGACATAGGGGAGTTTCCCTCCTTCTGAAAGGCCGTGTATACAAGTTCAGAGGGAATGGCCGTTCTGCTCTATGGTAGTGAGACTTGGCCACTTCGGTCAGAAGATCTGAGGCGTCTTCAAGTCTTTGATCATCGTTGTCTGCGAGGCATTGCTGAAGTCGGGTGGCACCAGCATGTTCGCAACGATGATGTGCGTAGGCTAGCACTAGGTGGTTATAATCATGCTAGCTCGTTAGAACAACAGATAGCACTGAATAAGTTGCGTTGGCTTGGACACATGTTACATATGCCTGGTCACCACTTACCTAGGTGGGCCTTGTTTAGTCTGCCAGGTGTAGGATGGCGCAAGACTCGAGGTAGACAGAAGTTGACTTGGCAGTGGGAAAGGAAGTCACTGACGACGAAACTGGGTGCCGTTAGTCCGTCTCGACTTGCGGGCTGGAGTCCACATGACTCGCTTTGTGTTTAGCTCGAGACTTTACAGGACATGGCGCGTCTGCTGCTGTCTCCTAGTTGGATTGTCTGTTTAAAGTGTGTTTGGTGCTGAGTCATCTGCGGGGTAATGACTGATTATGAGGCGGGTCCGTGAAAGTCGCAAGGAATCTGTTTCGCCGATGCCGCCTTATCATTGTACGATATCCATCTGTTTGTGATGGAATGCTGTTAACACAAGGTGTAGGCGCCTTGACCTGAGTGTTTGCTATGGGCATTAAGGTTTTCCGGTAAGTCCCCTTCTCTCCCTCTTATTTGTTTTGTAGGTCGTCATGGTTGTATGGTAGCGAAGCATCAGTTCAAATCGCTGAACCTAAGCTCATTTTCAGTCGCTATCTTACCTTGTGGACAGTTATTAGTATTCGTGTCACCGTAGCTACCACATGTCTATGGCAAGCAAAACCAAGTAGGAAAATTCGAACGGTTTGCTTCTTTTTCGCCAACTTTTGCCACCATCCAATGAGTACCCTACTGGTCCCGTGTTCCAGAAATGGCATTCTGTTTTTACTTGTCGCTGGCAATTCGACTTCTCAGATGTATTATCCATTGATTCAACGGCGTCGCCCGGGAGGGCCCTTTGGAACTTGTACTCTCCACACTGAAATCGGCTCTTGCTTCCTTACACATCAGATACATATCAAGCGTTCGTATCCAGTTACCTAGCAATACCATACAACGAACTGCCCTAGAGCTGCATTTTGCCGCATCACTATGTTACCGATGGGGCTCACCACTACAACACTTGTTTCATCTGGGGTCCGTGGGGGACCCGTCTTACCGTGGTACGCTTACTCCCTAGGTATTGAAAAGCTTTTAAACCTTCAGACTGCATGAACCTAGAGGCCACGAATCTACTACAGATTTGAATTGGGCGTCAGCCGTCACCAACGAGCGAGGTAAATGAGCTGAATACCGATTGCGATCACCTTCAGTGCACTGTGTAGAAGACGTTGGGCAGCCCCGTTTAAGGATTTGAACTATTGTTTGCCTTTCTTAACCTTCGGCTGCCATATTTCGCACGAAGTATGAGTCTAGGAGTTATGCAGCCTCGACAGCATGAGCCCTACTCTCACTTGGGGGTCTCAGGGGTGACTGTTCGGTGTCACTGAAGACAGTCGCCAGTTGTTCCAACTCTTCCGAATTTCTGGTTCAGGTAGGTCCTTTGGTGAGACAATGGCTTAGAAGACCAGTCATCCGATCCGTACTCGGTTACCTCGGCTAGACCATTAAATCAATCAAGTAACGATTCTGCCTTCCTGCTGGCACCATTTTTGTCCGGGGTTTCGGATTTCATCTGGATCGTTCAATTCGCCACCGTCATCGATGAGATTCAATTCGAGATAGTTCTGCTGTAACGTAACGACTGTCCCAATATAACTAGCTTCTTTATCATTCTGTAGAGACGGACTTACTTGTTGTGTCTATCATCATTGTTTCGTTCGGCAACATTTGACGCAAGTACCCCGAACCAGCACACATCAGGTTACGTCTGTAAAGTGTCCAGGGTTATTTTAAGAAACCGTCAATCTATTATTCCCGTTTCTTTTGGTTTTCAATTGCTCACCTCACATGGCGCACCTACTGGACCGGTTGTAGTCAGACCAGCAAAGCCACGTTTGTGTGCTTCCCCGCAGAAATTGCATTAGTCATAAGTAAACACTTCGACGTAGAAGTGAATGTCTAAATTCAACATCAATTTAAACCATTGTACTCTTCTTTGAGTTAAAGCTTTTTTACTTTGTTTACTGCAGCCGTTTGTGTTGTAAGCTCTTTGAGGGATCTGTACTAACATTCACATTCGATAAACTTCATCCTTATACTTGCAAAACCATGTGCAAGTGCATTTATTTCTTCTTTACCTTTCAACCTTTTCGTTAAACCTTAATTAGCACATTGCCTATCAGTTTCTTTTTGTCACCTTGTTAAGACGCCTTCCGAAAGAAACTCCGAAATGCTCAGTAGTGGATTGTGACCGACGTGTCTTAAACTGCGCCCCATCTTCCGCTGGTCTCCGTCTTCGTGCTCATTTCAGACGGTGGGGTACATATATGGTTCCCTACGCCTTGCAACGTTTTCTGTTTCTTTGATTTACTCCAGTAATCCATCACCGCATCGTTTGTATCTTTCCCGTCATATCTCCGATTGTACTGTTGGGTATCTAACAGTTCAGCACTTGGTTTGATCGTACTGTCATTGTCATTTGTACCCGCTCCTGCGAATCGATATGTGGTTGGCCGGTGGCCGAGTGGTCTGCACACCTAGTTTGCAATCAGAAGGTCATCGGTTCGAATCTGGGTAGGGGCGGGCATCCTCGCGGTATACTCAGCCCACGCGCGACTACTGGTGCTCGCGCAGCGGCGAAGCGCCGTTATGGTGTAAAGTTGGTGGTTATATTTTTTATTATACTTGGCCTACCAGCACTACTCACGGCTCTGTGCACAGCTACGAAGACGAAACATTTCCCATCCTCGTCACTGTTTCTTGGTACTTACGACCTACTCATTCCTTCATGTTTTTCACTGACCCCCTATCTGCATTTCAGAGTTGCAGTCCAAGTGCAATTCAACGGACTCCGTCTGGTAAGTGCCATTTTGCGCTTATCTCTATGCACACTTTGGCGTAATACACACAGATCTTCCTTCTTATTTTTCTGCTTGTATGTCGTCACCCCTGGTGCACCAATGCTTTATATCGGAAAGAATGGGGCCAATACTTGAGCAACCTACTCGTTATTTAGTACAGCAGCGCTCGCAAGTTGCCAGTAGTGCACGGTCACAAGCATATGACTATTCTGCAGAAATATGCTGGCATCCTGACACATCCATTGTAGCTTCCATCGTGACACCTAATCAACGTAACGCCACAGCTAACTCAGCACCGTGCACACTTTAAACAGGCGCAGAGATGGCATCAACTAGGTAACTGTTACCGGTTGCGCGCCACTGTTTAAAAGCATTTTACACACAACGACTCGCATGTGCTCCCTGTTTGAATGTTTGACGGCACCCAACCTACTGGCCGGCAGCTTCTTTACCAGGCATGTTGCTGCCTAATCGAATCACACCCCATGCAGAATCTGATACAGGAAACCAGTTCGTCTTTTGTAAATCGTGGATGATTATACCTAACGTCCCCGAGCCAAAGCAGGGCATTTAATCTTGTTTGTTGATTTAGGAACTTGCTGGAAACGCTGTCCTCACTGCATTTACATATACGTGACTTCCGTGTCCACACAAATTCATGGCCAGCCATGGGCATGCTTTTGATCACTCGAAGAGGCAAAAACCTATGAACATAAATGGCGTGATCTGTCCAGACATTCTGTTAAATAAGATTGTACATATTTAGAACCTCCGTTCTTTGCCTAAAAGGCACTATCTTTTACGAAAATCGCAATTTCACTCCGGCGGGTGACCATTCTAGCTTCCTGATCGACCAACTTTCATGCCCCCGTTGCCCCAATTGGATACTTCTTGATCACTCGAAAACATTTTCGGTTTAGCTTAATAGCTATTAGATTATCTAAGTACAATTTGGAAATCGATTTCTGCTCAATATTGACGATATTCCCAACAAGGAAAAATTCATTCAAGGTACATGGTAAGGGTCCGTTGGAAAAAACATCGTTCCTGACCACCATCATCAACAACAGCAGTACATCAGTCATTTGGACTGAAGCTTCGCTGTCATACAACAATGGTGATTTAAGGAATAAATAATAAAAGGGAGAGAAAGGGGGATTATATGAAACATTATTGCCCTAAGCAAACATTCAGGTCAAGGCGCCTACACCTTGTGTTAACAGCATGCCATCACAAACAGCCGGATATCGTGCAATGATAAGGCGGCATCAGCGAAACAGATTCCTTGCGACTTTCACTGACTTCCGTCATAAACATCCATTACCCCGCAGCTAACTCAGCACCAAACACACTTTAAACAGACAATCCAACTAGGAGACAGCAGCAGACGCGCCACTGCCAAGTCAACTTCTGTCTACCTCGAGTCTTGCGCCATCCTACACCTGGCAGACTAAACAAGGCCCACCTAGGTAAGTGGTGACCAGGCATATGTAGCACGTGTCCAAGCCAACGCAACTTATTCAGTGCTATCTGTTGTTCTAACGAGTTAGCATGATTATCACCACCTAGTGCTCGCCTACGCACATCATGGTTGCGGACAGGCTGGTGCCATCCGACACCCGCAGTGCGTCGCAAACAGTGATGATCAAAGACTTGAAGACGCCTCAGATCTTCAGACCGAAGGGGTCAATTTTCACTACCATAGAGTAGAACGGCCTTCACTGTGACCTTGTATACATTGCCTTTCAGACGGAGGGAAACTCCCTTCTGTCGCCAAAAATATCGCAGGTTCAAGAAGACAGTTCTTGCTTTTGCAAGGCTTCAGTTTCTTTGCGCCCATCTTTGCTGATGCAGCTATTGAGGTAAGTGAATCAGTCAACCAGCTGGAATTCCTCGTTATCAAGGGTCAAAGGATCATCAAGTGGCTGGTGATCTTGCAGCAGCAGTTGTCACTTTAAAGGTGCGAAACGCATACAAAATAATGGGAGCACTCTAGTGAGGCTATTCATTGTTGATTGTGCCGCCGCAACATCGTCGAAAAGCAAGACGGTATCGTTCGCATAATCAAGATCAACTAATCTGTCATCAGGCAGAACCTCAACGCCTACACCGTGAAATTGCATAAGGGAACACTGCATGAATGAGCCAATGACGAAAGTCATGTCCAATTGGGACGGCCGGGGCACAGAAATTGGTCACTCACGGAGCTCCGGCGGACACTTTTTGGTCACTCGTGCAGACAGAGCTCTTGGACCAGCGGACACCATCCTAACCCCAACGGTTTAGTTTCATGAAAATAATTCTAACCCTCACAATTCTTCGGCAACTTCAACAATTACACGCTCATCGCTGTCGTTGCGGGTAGATAAATTAATCACGTATCTCAAGTTACCAACTTCTTAAGCGCTCGGCTAGCAATGCTTCTCCGCGGTACTCTATTCACAAAATGCTTGTGTAATACATAAGTCTCGTTCTAGGTGTCCATGTTCAAGTCTCGGACTTTGCTGTATGATTTGCCGAGGAACCTCCACATGGTGTCAGCTGGGTGGTTCGGGTTTATCCCATTCCAGCAAATGGTTCGGCAGCAGTTTTTCGGGAGGTAGTGAGTTTCGCCTGGCACTCGTGTGGCATCCTCATGGCCAATGTGCTGACCCCATTCTATTCGTTGCCTGCAGCCGCTGGCGTGTGTCAGTAACCCGCTCATCCATTTATCGATTGGCCTAGTTTTGAACAGTGGATCAATGCGTTGTACAACATGCCGATTAGAATACAGTTTTGCCTTCCATATATCTGACGTGTTTTGCTTTGTTATACTTCGGCTAAGAGCCAGCCATTGTGCGTTAGTTCCGCAGTTGCTAAACTGTGACATTTTGACGACGACGGCTAAACTTGTAATAAATAACTATGAGCCATCTTACCCAGTCTGATCACTTTTGGTAGGACATCATCCAAGCCATCCTTAGCAGTATGGAATTGTTGGAAACGAACTTACTGTGAGTACTTTGAGCGTTTCACAGTTGTATCCCTCACATCAAACTTAGTGAAACCCAGTCTATCAAACTACTGAGACAACACCTGGGTGCAGAAGCTCAACGGCATTTTGATACGTTACGTTGGTACGAAAGCACATCCCTGACTGACTGTTTTAACGCTCTGGATGGCCTTTGGGGGCCGTGGCAACATGTTTTTACTGTGCGCCTAAGATTTTCTCATTTACGACAGGGAGAAGAGGAGTGTTAATGAATTCATCAGTCGTGTACAACAGTTCTTCCTGACTGCCGTTACAATGAAAATCCCAAAACGAAATTCGATGGCGGTGCAATTCTTTTTGGTTGGCATTCCAGACGACAAAGCTAGAGAACGCCTGCTGTCATAAGAGGAGAACAAACTCACTTGGGAAACAGCCTGCTTACTGGTCCGACAAAGAGAGAGCGTTGTGCAACAATTAATTCACTATCGAAGTGCTTCTTCAGATGCCATCCATTTGGTTAAATCTCGACTATCACCCCCAACAAACGTTTCTTTACTTTCTACAGATGCGGCGAAAAGCATGAAAAGTTTACTGATTTCAGCCACAAACAGTCTCCTAGTCATAAGTGCGGAAAGGTCGGACATACTGCACGCGTATGTCGTTCGACTGCTTCAACGACCGATGGCCCGCCCTGCCCAGGGTACTGTTCAAACTGTGTGTCGCAACGAGACTGGACCTTAACGTGGTGCGACGGTTTGCGTACCTCATTGACCCATTGAGCTATACTGGGTGATGCCTCCGAGCATCTTGAGAGCTACTCCTACCAGGTTTGTCAATGGTGAGAGGTCAGACAAACTCAGTCTCCTGGTCCTCCAGGTTGGGGGTTTGAAATGGGATGGCGTCCATTTCTGTAAAACTAAATCACTGCCACCCCGCTGCCTTGCGGACAGGCTTTTGAGCCAAAGGCTTTGGATGAGGACCCTAATCGTTCTCCTGTCTAGGTCTGGGCGCCCTGGCAGTATCCCAGCCCACATACAACCATGACATTCTCTTCAAACATAAACTTCATCCTGCATCGGCCGTCGCGCAGATTATCAAGGGTCGCCTTATCTGCTGCATACAGCAGGGCGGATAAGCGAAAGCATGCTACTGCTGGCGCCTCTCTTCTTTCTTTTCCACCTTTTTCTCTTACTCCCATCCCGGCCCCCATTACTAACCTTCCTTCTATAATTCCCAGCTTAATTGACAGCAACCGAAGTGCTACTGGAGTAGAACCATCTGCAGCCACCATCCCACAGCACCTATCGGACGCCTATCGGCAAAAGTCCCTTATAAGGCCACGCTGTCCCGTTTCCATGGCGACATTCAACGTCCGCACTCTAAGACAAACAGGTCAACAGGCTGCACTCGCACGCACCTTGGACACACTGGGTGTTGATGTGTGTTGTGTGTCCGAAACTAGGATCAATGACCCTAACAGGGTTATTGAATTGACTGCACCCAGCTTATCCTCTCGTTATTGGTTGCACGCATCCGGAGACGCCGATGCGGCACTCACGGGTCAAGCTGGTGTAGGTATCATTCTCAGCTCCAAGGCTGAGTCATCGTTGGTTGATTGGATTCCGGTGAACAGCCGTTTATGTGCAGCCCGTTTGACGACATCAGCTAAGGTGAATTCGCGAAGTAAAACAAAACGCTGTTTGTTTGTGATTTCTGCTTATGCTCCCACGGACTGCAGTTCTAATGCAGTCAAGGACACTTTCTATCACGAACTGAACACGCTGCTACGCAGTGCTACTAGTTCAGATATTATAGTACTTGCAGGGGATATGAACGCACAAGTAGGGCGTCTGAGCTCTTCAGAAGCTCAGCTGGGTGGTAAGTATGGACTTAACGCCGAACGGACTGACAACGGCGAGCGTCTGCTGCAACTGTGTGCGGAGCACCAGTTGTTTCTTACTAGCACTGCTTTTAGACACAGTGGGCGCCGAAGTGCCACTTGGCGTCCACCTGTAGCTGGTCAGCG